ACAACCTACCAAGCCTATATTAAATTATAACTTATATAATTTTAACACACCCCCTAGGCTTGGTAGTGTCAAGCCCACGCACACCCCCACACCCACACCCACACCCACACCCCCTAGCCCAGCACCCCCATTCCCAGCAGGAGCCGCAACGACTCCGGAAGAGGGTAGGTCTCACGGCCCCTTGAGACGGCAATGGCGGCAGCAGCGACAGTGACGACGGCGGCGGCGGCGGCGGTGTGCGGCGGCTCCAGGCCTGCGGCAACAGCGGCGGCGCCGGCGGCTCGAACGACAGAGGCTGGTGCGGCGGCCCCCGCCCTCTCGGCGGCATGTCCTGTCTCCTCGGCGGTGGAGAGGTCCCTCACATGGCAGTCATCGGCTGCAGCAAGAAAGGGGGGGATGCAGGGGAAGCAGGTGCAGGTGAGTCTTCAGCGACGCGCCATAAGTGGCGCGGCGCTTACTGGCAGGAGGGCGGGCAGGTGGCGGTTATGACGGCGTGCTGCCCGCTGCCGCCCATCCACGCTGCCGCGGCAGCATGACGACGCCGCCAGGGCGCGGCGTCGACGCTGTGGCGGCACGCCGACGCTGCAACGGCAGCAAGGTGACGCTGCCACGGCAAAGCGTCGACGCAACCGGCTGCGGCCCGACGGCGCCGTCGACGCTGCAGCAGGACGTCGACGTCGCGACGGCAGAGGCAGCGTCGATGCCGCAGCGGGACGTCGACGCTGCGACTGCAGAACGACGGCCCGACGCCACGGCAGCGCGTCGAGCCGGTCGCGGCACGACGCGGCCAGTGGCAGCGCGACGTCGCCACTGCAGCAAAACGCGGCCGCCATGGCCGCTCGAGCTAATGAGAGCGAGGAGTAAATTGCGGAAGCGTGAGGAGGCGATCCAACAGGGAGGATCTCCTGCTCTGATACCATCTTAGAAACTTGGGACTAAAGGTTCTTAAACTTAGGAGGCTAGGTTGGCTAGGATACTAGGAAGAAGACCGCCATGGAATGGCGTGAGGAAAAACGGATCTAGGAAGGGAGGGAATGTCGAGAAGAAAGGTAGTTGGATTAGGAAGAGAGGGGAGTACAAGGAGGGGTTTGTACCCCCTACAGAAAGGTTCAGTAACAACCTACCAAGCCTATATTAAATTATAACTTATATAATTTTAACAGCATCGACTACCATGCGGTCAACCGGATCACCATCAAGTCGCGTTACCCGATCCCGCGAGCCGACGACATTCTCGACCAGCTTCGCGGCGCCAAGTTCTTTTCGAAAATCGACTTGCGAGGCGGTTACCATCAAATTCGCGTCGCCGCGAACGATTGTCACAAAACGGCGTTTCGAACTCGCTAAGGCAGTTACGAGTACCTGGTGATGCCTTTTGGCCTCACGAACGCGCACTCAACATTCCAAATGACCATGAATGGAATTTTCAGAGAAATCCTGGATAAATGCGTCATCATCTACCTTGACGACATCGTAATCTACAGCCGCAGCAGGGAGCAGCACTTACAGGATCTTGATGCAGTCTTCACGCTGCTGCACAGAAACCGTCTCATCACCAAAGCGTCTAAGTGCGACTTTCTTAAGCAGGAGTTGGAGTTTCTGTGCCACATCGTTTCTCATGAAGGAGTGAAAATCTACCCTAAAAAAATCAAGACAATACAGGAATAGAAGCCGTCGAGCAATATCAAGGAGCTGCAGAGTTTTTTATGGTTCGTCAATTACGTCCGACGGTTTATCCCCAATATGGCTGGGTTATCTGCCCCGCTGACTGACCGACTGAAGGATCACGATTGTTTTTTGTGGGGAGAGAAGCATCAAGCTGCATTCGACCAACTAAAGATCGCCCTCGCGTCGCCACCCGTCCTTCGTATCTCCGATCCTGATCGTCCATACGAAGTCATCATCGACGCCAGCGACATCGCCATCGGCGACAGTTCTTCTAGAGGATTTCGGCGACGGATAACAGCCGGTCGCCTACGAATCACGGAAGCTACAGGGCGCAGAGAAAAAATATACAGTCCACGACAAGGAAATGTTGGCGATCGTCCAAGCGTTCAAGACTTGGCCGTGCTACCTGACAAGCGCTGACGTCACCGTACGAACTGACCACAAGTCCCTCCGGTACCTACGAGCCCAGCCGAATCTCAACCCGCGACAAATCCGATGGCTCGATTTCCTCGAGTTAAATTTCCACTACACCATCATCTACAAACGGGGCGCCAACAACATTGTCGATGCCCTAACCCGACCCACTGCCCATATAGCTGCCATACTAGTTGCCCAGACCAGCCTACTCCTTACATTACTATTTATACACGACTACAAAATCGACCCCTTCTTCAGCTCCGCCATTCACCAACAGCATCCTATGGCCACCTGATATCATTTTAATAAGCGCGACACTTCCCGCATATGGGTTACCGACTACGATTAACTTCGTACCCTCCTAATCCATAAATCCCACGATAATCCTACCTCTGGGCATTTCGGCATCGACAAAACCATGAAGACGTTGTAGCGCAATTATTACTGGCCGGACATGGCCGACGACATGCGCAAGTACGTGTCCTCCTGCACCGCCTGCTAGATTATGAAGTTATCTTATCAGCGAGCAACCGGACTCCTACAGCCGTTGGATCCGCCCGAGCGACCCTGGCAACACATCACGATGGACTACGTGACAGGACTGCCGGCCGGTCCCAGCGGAAACGACGCCATCCTCGTGGTCGTTGATCGACTCACAAAAATGGCGCACTTCATCGCCTGCCAACAGAAAATCACAGCCGAACAAACTGCCCAAGTGTTCATCGGCAACGTCATCCGACTGCACGGACTGCCTTCGGCCATCATTTCAGACCGAGAACCGAAATTCACATCGAATTTCTGGCGCCACCTGTGGGACCAATTCGGCACCAAACTACAGTTTTCCTCTGCCTACCACCCACAGACCGACGGACAGACCGAAAGAGTTTACCAAACTATGGAGCAACTCGTTCTAACTACCTGCACCGATCCACAGACATGGGAGAAATCCCTTCCACTGCTGGAATTCGCGTATAATAACGCGCATTCCGCCACGACCCATCAATCACCGTTTTTCCTAAACTACGGGCAGGACCCAGTGGTACCCTCTACACCGAATATCGAGACACCCGTGCCCTAGTCCCGGCGATTTGCCGAAGACATACTCGCAGCCCGAGAAAAAGCAGCTGAGGGAATCCGAAAAGCCAACCTGGTTGCAAGTCGACAGGCCGATCGTCATCGACGTGACATCACTTACAAAGCGGGGGATCTCGTACTACTCGACATACGCAATTTGCGGCTGCCGATCCCAAGCAAACTCTGACCTCGATTTTGTGGCCCTTTTCAAGTGACCAACATGGTGACACCTGTCACTGCTCACCTCCGACTCCCGACTGATTGGCGTCACCACCCAGCTTTCCACGTCAGCCTCTTACTGCCCTACGTCCCTAGTTTGTCGGACTTGGTACGCCAACGCAATTTACCGCAGCTGACGCCTCTGCAGGAACCGATGATCTTAAAGATTCTGGGCCATCGTGTCACAACGCAGCTCAACCGTCGCATGGTGGATTTTCTCGTCAGATGGCATAATCGGACGTCCGAGGATGACAGCTGGGTACCCCTCGCTGAGGTAGAATCACACCCGATTCTAACAGCTTATTATCAGCGTCGGAATGTTTCCGATGCCCGTGGCCTCGTTTAGGAGGGGGGGGGGGGTAGTGTAAGGAATTTCCATTCCTTACTAAGTCATCCGCTACCGCATACATCCGAACTCTTCGACTCGTCACGTCCGGTCTCGATTGTCGGCCCAACCCTTTCCCGAGTCGTGTCCGACACTGTCGCCACATTGCCGAACCTACCCACGTTCTGAGGTTACCGCCCTAGCACGCCAGCCCCTATATAACCTCGTGCTTTCATTGCAATAGCGACCTTGTATACTCACGTTATAGTTCATTGACATCTTCTAAATCATAACACTAGACGTGCCTTCGAACTCAAACTTCTGTAACACACGTCTGGCGCGAACACGACCCAAACGAGTGCTTTAGCTATAGTGTCTTCACAAGCTCCATGTTCCTTGCTGTGGGTGGCAGAAAATCACGGTTATTTTTCTCATGACAGCTGGCAGGACAAGATTGTCGAGTGGTCTCGAATGTCGATTGTGCGCTCGTCTGATGCGCATGGCCCTCTGTACTGATTGTCTGTACAGAGCCGTGTTCTGTAAGTTCATTTTCCGTTTTTTCGGTTGCCCGGCGAGGGAATCATGAAGCAATAACGGTTATGGAGATGCTTGAAGAATGTTTCGTGATCAATTTGCACGCCCTAACTAGGCAGCACTTGGTTCTCCTTCCAACTAGGGAGTAGGTAGTGGGGGAGGGGGGAGAATACGTATTCTTCATCAGGGCTGTGAACGAATTTCCCAGACCCAACCAAAGTTTAGGGTTGAAACCCGGAATATTTGCCTGCTGCCATCCCAGCAGCCGAACCTGTGCATGTTTTCTCCGCAATGTTCCAGGGAGCTCTAGGCGGATCTCTCTAGGGGCAGCTGCTTTCCCAACCTACCGTACTGTCTCGTCAATACTGTAGCTGTGCTCGCAGTTCAATGCAAGTCTGGTGGAGGCGGCAGCTTGCTTCCAGGGAACGACTGTGGGGCTGGCTGGCGTGGCTGGCAGGGCCTACGGTTACATTTTACTTTTGAAACCGTACGCTCGGTGAGTGCCTCGCTGCTGGCCGTTTCTTGCCTCTCCTTGGATTTGGGTTTGACACTTGGCCTCAGCTCAATGTCCTGCCAGCCAGCCCCTACCAGAGTTGGCTCGGCCCGTACCGTCCAACCGAACCACTCCTGGCGTGGCCACTGGGACGGAGGTGCTCGGAAGGAGAGACCGATATGCACTGGGCCACAATGACTGTGCTGATGGCCAATCAGCTCTTCTTCTCGGCCCCATTATTGTCATCAATATAAAAATGCGAGGTTCACCACGGAACCTGTTTCTGTTGGGCCAGCACGATCATACGTGGAGCATGATGATAACCAGGAAACTAAGTAAAGCGCGCCATTTCCTAGTCCTCTCACATAGCTGCTGCATCCGCTAGGTGAAGCAAGCTCGACGCAATGCCGTCAGCCATGGCATCGAGAGACCCCTTCCGACCTGCATTTTCTCCGCGCCGCCCCTCAAATTTCTCTGGGGCATCCGCGGCAACCTCTCCCCGCGCGTCCCCTTGCCCGTCGCACCACTCCGCCGCGCCCTCCGCCTCGAGCTACTCGCGCTCCAGCTCCGTCCGCAGCTGCAGCAGCGCCACCAGCACCTGTAGCAGCTACAGCAATTCGTCCACGTCATCGGCGGACTGGGCGGCGCAAAGTCCCATGCTTTCCCATTCCGCCGCCGGGCCGATCCCCGAGAGCGACGCGCGCCTCGTCTTCCGCAGCCTCGTCGACACCATCGTCGCCACCAGGGCCGCCGCAACCAGCGCCGGGATGGGCGGGGGCGCGCGGGGATGCGGCTTAAGCCGGAGTCGGAGCGGGCGGCGAGACGGCAGCGCGGGGTCGTCAAGTCTGCTGTTCGGGACGTGCAACGAGCCGTGCTGCCGCCCCCTCTGCTTCTTCGCCCCCGAGATGCTTCCCCCGCTGCCCTCACGGCTGTATATCGAAACGGGCGCCGCTGCCATTATTCCGCCATCCACCACCGCTGCCCCACCTGGCGCTCTCTTCGCGCCGACGACTTTTTCCCGCTTCGCCCCGTCGGCCCCGTGGCTGGCGGCGGACGATGCGGCGCTGGGCGCGCTGGAGGTGTGGAGCCTGGGCGTGCTGCTCTACTCGCTGCTCACCGGCCGGCAGCCCTTCCTCGGCCGCTCCAATGCCGACACGCTGCGAAAGATTCGCGCCGCGCGCGTGCGGTTCCCCCTCACGGTGCGCGCGATCGTGCTGCCCGGCGACGCCAAACGACTCATTCGCGAAATGCTCGCGCCAGACCCCGCTTCGCGCCCCACGCTGCAGCAGGTGCTTGCGCACCCGTGGCTCGCTTCCCCGCCCGCCCGATGCCGAACCCTAGAACGCCCGGGCTTCCGCTTGCGAAAGGCTCCCCGCATAGCGCTGTCGCGCGGGCTGCTGTCATGCCTGCGGGTCGACGACGCGGTCAGCGACTCGGAGTGAAGCTGATCGCAAGGGGAGCGGAAAACAATGGCGCGTCGGGCGGATTCGCGAAGCGGTGGATTGCAGCTGGGGCTCATTCAGTGGATGCGCGCTCGAAGCACACTCCTCTCATGCGCGCTTCCTGCGCTCCCCGTGCTGCCACCAGTGGTGGAGCTGCTCACCTCACCGCGCCACGGCTGCCCTCGCTACGCCGTTCCCCGAACGAGCAACTGCGGCGAGCCTTCGCCCGCTTATCCCCCGACGCCGCGATTCTCGGCCTCTCTGACAGCTCACGCGCTCGACACTTTGCGAGGCGCCGGGCGACGGTGTGCGGGCGACGCGTGCAAGTTACACGCGAAAGGGAAGGGCAGGGGAGGTGTAGCAGCGAGGACAAAAACAGTTGCAGGAGGGGTATTTTGCGCCACGTTGCCATGGAGCCCTGTGCTCTGTAAGGCGACTCTGGCGGGCTGAGCTGGACTTGGCGGGCCATGCAATGCCGCCCTGTCTAAGCATTTCCCCTGTCACCTGTACGATAAAGCCTCCGATGAAAAATGTAGATATTCACTTCTGTATCTTTGGTGTACGATCTACATAGATTAATATATTACTACCCAACCAAGACTTCGAGAGGCATTGTGAATAGCTGGTTTGCAAAAATCATCTACTCTAGAATACAGTGTACTGACGGACACAAAGCAGTGAGGTTGCACCATTGCAGCAGGCCCCATGAAGCGATCAGAGGAGAGCAGCAAGAGAGGATGCAATCATGGCAAGCAGCAGTAAGAGCGAGACAGCAGCATGGACAGGTGCCGACTTGGGTGTTACCTGACGCACACAAAGGGGTTGGGAAGGGGGGGGAGGGGGGGGAGGTGGGAGGACAGGGGCATGCTCAAGGGGGAACTGATTATTGTACCCTCATTCAACCTCAGCTAACTTCACAGCAATGGGGCGTGCAACAAGGGCACACCGTCAACGCCCCTTCCCACCCCTTCCCCTCACACCCAGCAATCCACCTCCCCATGAACCACCATCCCCACTCTCCCTAGTTTCCTCTCCCCACACTCCCACCACCCCCCTCCTCCCCCCCTCCCTGCGCACCTGGATGAACCCTGAGGCGGCCACCTCAAAGGTGCCGACGCGCGGCGAGGCAAGGGCAAAGGAGAGGTCGGTGGGGAAGGCGCCCGACACGCCCACCCCGCCAAACGTGGCGCTGGCAGAGGCGGGGGAGATGAGCGCGTGCCTGTAGGCGTCGTAGGGCGTCTTCTTGGTGTCGTACGCCACGTACACCTCGTTTATGAGCGTCGTGGTCACCGCCTGCCCCACACCCACCACCTGAACCACATGCGCACCACGCAGAGGGGGGGGGTTGGGAGAGCCGTGAGGGGCAACAGGAGGGGGTGGAGGGAACTAGGAAGCAGCTTGACTCTGTGATCGGCTATGCAAGTGCGTGCCCAGTTGGGTCGTACTTTGACAACACATTTTCATGCCCATGTATGCCCGCTCAATTCCTCCCACCCCACTCACCTTGGAGCCGTTGGTGGCGAGGTAGTACTTGGGCTGCCACGCCTGCATGGTGGGGTCCATGTTCGGCGTCAGGTTGAACGTCAGCAGCGCCCCCACCCCGGGCAGCGCTCTGATGGGGGGGGCACGGAGGAGGGGGGAGGGGTGGAAGGACGAAACTCGCTGAGGGGCTGCGGAATGAGGAGTTTCAAGGGATTAGGAGGGATGGAATTGAGACATGAGGGACACAGAAAGACAGAAAAGGGGCATGAGGGAGGGGCAGTGGGGCTTGCATCTGGGGGATGGAGCGCGTGGGCTCCCTGAGGCGGGACGTGGTGTCCTCCTCCGCCAGCTCCGAGTCGGAGAACACAAACCCCGACGCCGTCTGCACCTCGGGGATGCCCGTCACCGCTGCCCCAAACGCCCTGGAGATGCTGTCAGGAGCGCACACGCTGTAGCGCGGCGACAGGCGCTCGCAGGATGCGCCCACGGCGTCGGCGTCGCTTGGGGCGAGGAAGGAGAAGGTGAAGAAGAAGAAGCACGAGTGGCAGATGCGCGTGAGGCCCGGCGGGATGCGCTGCAGCGCCGTCGACGCCGCCAGCGGCGTGGCCGCCAGGTCGCCCAGCGGCACGCAGCCCAGCGGGTCGTAGAACACGTCGATGTGGTTCACCGCTGTGAAGCGCGCCGAGCCTGGGGGAGAGGGCAACGCGAAGGGCGTTGTGGGATTGATGTGGGCAGTGAGTGAGACGTGATATGCTGCGGTCCAACCACGCTCCCCATCTCCCAAGCCCGCCTGTGCCGAGCCCCTGTCCCACCCAACATGCCCCAACACCCATTCTGCTGCTCCCCGCACCACGGCTGAGCACTCACCCTGAGGCAAGGGGAAGCGCTCGCGGTACGGCGCATAGTCGTACGTGGGGTTGGGCTTCTTGAGCTCGTCTGGCGTGGGCACCTGCAGCAGTACGCCCCACGCCCCACGCCCCACGCCCCACGCCCCACGCCCCAGGCCCCATGCCCCAGCCAGGCACATCACATGTTGAGTAAAAGTGGCATTCGAAGCCATGTGCTCGATCTCACGGGGACAGCTCGAACCACGTGCTTTCCCATGTGCTCTTGCCCATGCGTATCCCGTGTCCGCGCATGTGTGTCCGCGCATGTGTGTCCGCGCATGTGTGTCGGTGTGTGTTTCCACGCGTGCATCGCGCGCATCTGCACGTATGGGTGCGTCTCACCAGCCGTTTGACTCGCTCTCACCAGCAGTTTGACTCGCTCTCACCAGCAGCTTGCCTCGCTCTCACCAGCCGTTTGACTCGCTCTCACCAGCAGCTTGACTCGCTCTCACCAGAAGCTTGACTCGCTCTCACCAGCAGCTTGACTTGGTCCTGCGAGACCACCACGGTGACCGGCCCGTCGAACAGCTGGCTCTCGTACTCGGCGCGCAGCTCCGTCGTGCCGCCCAGCGACCACCTGCCGCCAAGGGACACATGCGCGCGCGGGGGGAGAAAGGCCCGGGGAAGGAGGGAGGGTGCGCGATCGGAGAGGCGGGAGAGGGGGAGACATTGGTGAGTGGGGAGGGGGTGATGCGGCGGAAGAGGAAAGGAGAAATGCTGCTGCGATGGCGATCGCGATGGCATTCGAAGAAGAGGAAGAAGATTGCGAGCGAATTTGCAAGGACCAGATCTGCAAACAAATGCTCCGACCATTGTGCGACTCAACTGGGCGTGTGCGACGGCTGCATGGCTGGCGATGAGCACGAGCGTCGCCAATGCCCCCACCAGGGCTTGGCTGCACGCGGCTGGCAACGGGACCATGGCGATCGGATGCTGCGATCGCGGAACGCGGCCGCGGGCAAGATGGACGCAGTGGCGGCGAGGAAGTACTCTAAGTACGAGGCGAGACGCGAGAATCGCGAGGCGATTGCTTGCGTAGTAGGAGCAATGAGAGGATCTGAGCTTGAAATGAAATGGCCGTTACGGCGGGTGGTGTGGGGGCGATGGAAGGGGCCGATTTGACAGAAGGGGCGAATTGGAGGTGAAAGGGGCGCAGGGGAGGGGCGAGCGGACGGCGGCGCAAAGAGAGCCGATGGTGGTGGGGGGGGGGCCTCGGGGGGAAGCGCAACAGAAGGCCCACCTGCGTGATTCTGGCGTTTCACGAAGATTCACCTGCCCCGGCAGCACCCTGCAACAACAAGGGGTGGCTGACTCGTGTTACTGTACGGTGAAATTGGACTATTTGAGGCAAGAATGCTTACAATATATATGGGTTTACACAAAGCTTAAAACGAATACAAATAGTCCAAATACATATTCAGCACCACTTTCCTTCCCTTAAGCATCACGTTGTACATTTGCATCGCCAAAACCGACAAGCCTTGGAATTGTAGCAAGTATCGCCTATGTGAGTTGATTCTGCATTCAACCGAAGCACCCGCCGAATCTCCGTTGCTGGTGACAGACAGACAAGCACCAATTGCATAGACATATCCACAAAGGACGTTAGGAAGGCATCAGTTGTCTCCAACGGACACCATGTCTGTGAAAATGGGTACTGACACATATAGAGCGTTTAGTGTGCGCATGGCAGCAAGGATGGCAAGTAGAGGCATGGATGTTTCAAGAGGCAAGACTGGGACAGAGGATTGGCACGGATGCAGGAGGGGCACCCACCTTGCGTAGTTGCAGCTGTTCTATGAGCACTCTCAGCTGCTCCTGGCTCTCCAGCAGCTCCTTCAGCATCTGCGAACAGGGGAAGGGGGGTGGGGAGGGGGGGCAACGCGGGGGAAGGCCAGGTGATGCAGGCGCCACTGCAGCATGGCAACAGGCGAGTGCGACAGCAGCAGACTAACAGGCGACTCAAGGCTGACACTGACGAATGCCCCACAGCAAACACTCCACGGCACACCCCACGGCACACCCCATGGAACCCCCCCCCCCCCCAGCACACCTTCTTGGTGGTGGCAAGCTCCGACTCGAGAGCCGTGACTCGCTCCACTGCCGGCTGCGGCCAGTCCGACGGCGCAGCAGCGGGGCGCGGGGCCAGCACAGGCGTGGACGGGCTGGAGGCCAGCTTCTCCACCTGCCAGGGCGAGAGGCGGGGGAGGAGGGGCATGCGGCATGCGGAGGGACAGGGCGTGAGGCAATCATTTGAGGCGGCAGCGATGGGCCTGGCATGGAGGGCAGGGAGCAGAGGGCATGGAGGGCAGGGAGCGGAGGGGGAAGGTGAGAAGCCACCATGCAGCGAGGCTCAGCCCAGCCCATGGGCTCTCGACCTTCAAAATGCGCCACCCCATGTTCAGTGCAAAGTATACTTGGCCGTTCCTCAGCCCAGACTCAACACCCTGATCCCAACCCTATATGTCCAAACGAGCCTCTCATCTATGCTCCACAGTCTGTCCCTCTCTCTCTCTCTCCCTCCACCAGCCCCGCTACCTGGCTCTCTCTCTGCTGCCCCCTCTCAGCCTCAGCCTGAGCCCCCGCCGCTGTGCCCCTCTGCACCAGCAGTCGCTGCACCTGGCTCTCGAGCTCCTGCACGCGCCGCAACAGCTGCTCCGGCGTCAGCATCATCTGCGCCCCGGGCGGCGCCATCGCCCCCCCTGCCGCCCCTCTGCCACCCTCGAGGCGGTGGGCGGGTGGCGTGACGGTGATGACGATGCGGGAGAAGAGCAGCGGGAGGTTGGCGACAGCGGAGAAGAAGGACATGAGCAGCGACACCAGCCCCGTGGCCGCCGCCAGCGAGTCCGGCGCAGACGAGGACGACGGCGCCACCATGGGCATGCTGGACAGGGCCGTGCTGCTGGGCGTGCCTGATGCTGAAGCGCCTGAAGGATGAAGGGGTGTGGGGGCAATGGGGAAATCGGGGATTCAGGAAGGTGGGAGGAGTGGGGGATGATGAGGTCATGCTGACCCAGGTTAGCAAGGCGGCCACCCTAGCAGAGACTGGCGAATTAGATAGCAAAATGAGCCACCCACCATAATTTCTGGACGGCGGAGTAGAGACCTGCTTCCCCCCGCCGCCGCCCCCTCTTTTCATCGACACAGCTGCTGCTTGCGTGCCACCAGCCCGCCCACTGGTGCTCCCCACCCCAGATGACACCTCCCCCCCACGCTCCCTTCTCGACACGGACCCCACACCCGCGCTCAGGCGCGCCCCAACGCCTGCGCCCATGCCAGCAGAGCTGAGCTCGCCGCTGCGGTCGTCAGACGCCACGGACCCCGCCCCCGACATCTCCCGCTCGTCGTCGCTCGACGTGGCCGACCCCGACCGCGTCGCCCCCACGCCGTGCCCCTGCCCGCCTGAGGGGCGGGGCTGCATGCTGGCGGAGCGCCGCACCGAGGCGCCAGACATGGCGGATTCGTTGAAGAAGCGGGTGGAGTTGAGCGAGTTCAGCCGCTGGGGGGGAACGGGTGGGCGGTGGGCATGCAGGGACATGGGAGAAAGGGTAGTGAAAGGGCCTAGGAAGAGTGCAAAAGTAAGGCAGACGGCTATGCACACAAGATTAAAAGCACCAGCACATGCGCAAGGCAGGATGTGGCCATGGGTGTGCGGCGGGAACGCACGAGGTCGAGGTTGTTGAGGTCGTGGGTGCCGAAGTTGGGCGTGTTGAGTCCGCTGAACGACGGCGTGCCCAGGTCGTCTATGTCCGACACCTCGCTGCCCGTGTCCGTTATGTCCTCCGCGTCCAGCTGCCCACCAACAGAGGGGGGAAGGGGGGGGGGGAGAAGGAGACATGGCAGAATGGGTGACGGGGCTGGCAGCTTGTGCCCATGTGAGGGCAGCGTGCACCTGCGACAGCGAACCCAGGGCAAACACGAAGCAGCAGCAGCGGCACGGCCCCCCACCTTGAACTGCCCCGACTGCCATCTAATGCGCCCCCCTCTGAGCATGTCCTCTGTGTTGTCGCCCCCGCTGATGGTGCCCGTGCGCTGCAGGCGCACCACGCGCAGGATGTCCCCGTCGCGCCACGGGCCCTTGTCCGCCATGAGGCACCCGCCCTCCACGGCGCACTTGCACGTGCCGCCAAAGAACTCCGGCAGCTGACTGGGGGGGGGCGGGCAGGGGGGCGGGCAGGAGGGGGGGCAGGGAGTGGAATACATGTGGGGAGTGGCTGTGTGAGGGATGGCTTTTGAGTCAACTCAAAAATCACAATCGGAGACAGTGAGCCGTGGCGCGAACCAGGTGACTTTTGAGTCGACTCAAAAGTCACCTCGAGATAGTGAGGCGTGGCGCGAATCAGGATGCGCGCAATGACGAAAACGACATGCCGCACGGAACTGGCTGCAACACAACCTGCATGGTCCACAACATGCCACAGGGCTTGACTGCCCGTCTGCTACTGCTTCCATGCAATCCTTACCCCCTGTCTCGTGCTAGTCGAGCGCCCACCGTTGCTAACCCCTCACCTGGGGTCGATGGCTTCGAAGAGCTTCTTCTGGTAGTCCGTGCCCAGCACCTGACCGCGCACACGGGGGCGCAGGACGGGGCGGGGGAAGACAGGGCGGTGGGGCGTGTGACGAGAGAAGCGATGGATGCGATAAGAGGGGAGGGGTGGCATGGCATGGCGAAGGGGAGAAGCGAGGGATGCGATAAGAGGGGTGGCATGGCATGGCGAAGGGGAGAAGGGAGGGCACGGAGCATGGAGGGCGGGAGCAGGAGGGCGGGAGCAGGAGGGCAGGCGGCACATGGGCGGCGGAGCGGACCTGGATCTTGGCGGCGGTCTTGGGGTCCAGCATGCCCTTGATGCCCGACCACAGCGACCGGAACGCGAACCCCGCGTTGATCACAAACAGCCGGTTCAGCGTCTGCGGGGGGGACGGCGGGCGGTGAGCGGACAGGGGTTCGGACATGGGGAATGGTGCTGTGAGGCTGACAGAGGAAAGTGCGGGCGAGGAGGGGAGTGAAGAGAGGAGGCAAGGACGGCAAGGGAGGATTGTGACAAGGATTGAATTGGAGGGTGGAATGGGAGGATGCATGCAGCGCTGCTCTGCGCATACCAAGTGACAAAACGATTGGAAACCCGCCTTGCCTGAGCCGCACCACCGTACCTCGGGGTAGTTATGGCTGTGCCCACCGTACCTCGGGGTAGTTATGGTCGTGCCCACCGTACCTCGGGGTAGTTATGGCTGTGCCCACCATACCTCGGGGTAGTAATGGCTGTGCCCACCGTACCTCGGGGTAGTTATCACTGTCCACTTTGGACACCATCGCCAGAAACTTCCTCGCATCCGCTGAGAAATTCTTCATGCCCTGCCATGTGTCATGTGCCATGTGTCATGTGCCATGTGTCATGTGCCATGTGCCATGTGTCATGTGCCATGTGTCATGTGCCATGTGTCATGTGCCATGTGTCATGTGCCATGTGTCATGTGCCATGTGTCATGTGCCATGTGTCATGTGCCATGTGTCATGTGCCATGTGCCGTTTGGTGTCAGGATGGGATGGGTGTGCACGATGAATGTGGAACTCTCGTCAGTGTGGTGCGCCATGTGTCTGCCATGGCTCAAAACAGCACTGCTCGCTGCCTGCTAAGGAAAACAAGGTGAGGAGCGAGGAACCATGCATAGCGCCACAGAACTGACCATCTCGGCAACGTCGAGGATGGAGGTGGTCTGGTCGATGTGGCGCTTGGCGGCGAGCGAGCAGGCGGGGAACTTGAGAGCGAAGGTGCGCTCGAATTCCTTCACGTGGTACTGCAGGAACCGCTCCATCGTCGTTATGCTCAGCACCTGCCGCCACCACCCACACCCACACCCACACCCACACCCACACCCACACCCACACCCACACCCACACCCACACCCACACCCACACCCACACCCACACCCACACCCACACGCACACGCACACCCACACGCATGGCATGGGCCAAATGACAGAATTCAATCATGCACCATGCTGCATGTGCCAGAGCACAGGCATGCCCCCACCCTCTCCCCACACGCACACACAAGCGAGCATGTCACCGTGTGCCATGGATGCCATGATGAGTCACGGGCGATACCACAGCCATCCACCACACCACAAGTCACGGCCCACACCATGCGCCATAAGCAACAAAAACCGTTCAAAGCCCCCCCCCGCCCTTCCTTATCACCTCCCCTTACCCTTGGCCCCTCTCTGCCCCGTGGCACGCGCACCTTGGTGGCGTCGACGCGGCCTATGAGCTCGATGTACACGGGGCGGCCCTCGCGGTCGACGCCGTGGTGGCCGTGCGGATACACCTTCTTCACCTCGCCCAGCTCGGGGAACTCGAACTGCGCGCGGGCATGGGGGCACGCGGGCATGGGGGCATGGGGACATGGGGGCATGGGGGCATGAGGGCTTGGGGACATGGGGGCATGGGTGAAGGCGTGGTGCGATGGTGGCATGGTTTCAGGTTTGAGAAAGAGAGCGTGGGAGAGTGCGAGTGGGGACGGAAAAAGGAGAGACAGGGACGTGAGGGCGGAGCATGTAAGCGGCGACGGCAGGGAGAGCACGTGGGAGTGGAAGAAGAGCAGCAGCAAGAGAACATTCACGCGTTGAACGTGCTGCTCAGTGCGGGTCACCTCGAGGCACCGCGCGTCACCTTGAGGCACTCGTCGACGCCGAACTCCTCGCGCCACTTGAGCATGGCGGCCCACATCTCCGTCGTCTTCTCCATGTCGAACTTGCGCGCCTTCAGGAACCTGCCAGCCGGGGGGAAAGGAGCGCGGAGTGAGGGCGGAGCGGGTAGGGCGAGGGGCGAGAGTGGGCGAGGAGTGAGGCGTTGAGAGCACCCGAGTGGGTCAGTGTTCGCCAATTCCACCTGGCAAGCAAGTGACGCCCCTTGAATTCAACCGACCACCATCCACGGCTCGTTGAAATCCCCCGAGCACCAAGCAGTGCTCCTTGAATTCCCCCCGACCAACCCGCACTGCGCGTGGCGATCACCTGAGCAGCATGTGGTGCTCGTTGAAGCGCGGCGGCAGCAGGTTCTGCTCCGCCAGGATCTTCCGGAGCTCGCCCACCTTGGCGGTCTCCTCCTCGGTGCGCTCGTCCTGGATCTCCTGCAGCTTCTCCAGCAGCTTCTGGTACTTCTTCTTCTTCATCGTCTGCTTGAACTTCCGCAGCATCGGCACCTTGGGCCGCAGCCGCCGGTGGTGGTGACCGGGCTCATCCTCGCTGCGCTCCGTCTCCTCTTCCGATTCCAAATCGTGCAGTTTTCGCTCCAGCTTCTGCTCTTTGCGCTCGCGCCGCCGCCGCTCCTTGTCGTCGTGCTCGATCTCCCAGTCCCGCCGGCTCATCCCGCGCCGCAGCGTCGGGATGCTGCGGAGCGTCGGGGTCCGCGGCGTGCGAGGCGGCCGCGCCGGGTGAGGCGGGTGATCCGCCATGGGTACGACCGAGGTGCGGGTGGAGGGTGCTAGAGGCTCGGATGCGCGCGAATCTAACTTCGGGAGAGACGAGTTTGTGGGAAAGCACGAGAGGGAGGAAACCAGCTGTTTGAAACGCTGGGGAATACGCGATGCTGCCGGTCAGTATTCGGTGGCTAACGAGCAGTATGTTGGAAAATTTGGAACCTAGTGAGAGTGGCCATGAAATTTCTGATGAAAATCAGCTCTCAGAGGTTATGCATTCACGTCAGCCACTAACCGAGTGACGCAACGCTGCACGAGTCTAGAGCAGCACGGAAAGCTGCAAGCATACACCTGTTGATACACTAGAACCACGGTGAGAAACGACGTGGCTAGTCGACTATTCTTACGCGCGCAACTCAGGTTCCACGTTATCAGCCGCTCCTGTACGCAGAAGGGCGGGCTTAGAATAGAAGCCGCAGCAATTAAGCAGCGACTTGGCATCCAATACTGCTCCACGACACGAAGGACCACTAGCTCACAAATTCGGGCTGTTAGTCAATGGATGATGGGGGAAGAAGGACGAGGCGAGGCGAGGCGAGGCGAGGCGAGACGAGGCGAGGCGAGGCGAGGCGAGACGAGGCGAGCCAAGCCGAGTGAGGCACACATGGGCGGACGGATGGAGTCATGGAGGCGGGGAAGGTGCGTTCGGGGGGAGGCACGGCGGAAGAATGCCATCGAATGGGTGACGCAGAGGCGGACGGCGCGGGAAAACCCAGAGGCGTTTGCGCGGTGTGCGACAGCGGCAGCGCCGAGTCCCGCCCCGCAGTAAGGGGCACCACCGCGTCATGTGTCAGCAGCCCGAACCTGGGAAAATTCGGTCTGGTTGGGAAATTCCTTGAAGATGCCTCCGGTTTGGTGAAACGCGAGCCAATGAGGCAAGGAGAATGCAAACACGTGGGAGCGAGATCGTGAGTTGTGATACCAGCACCCGAATTTGCTGACTGTTCTAGGTCTGGGAAAGGTGGCCGTTGGCACGACAAACCCAGAACCAAGTGTTACGAACTGAAATACAATTCCGCTGTAAACTTGAATCCTTGATGGACCATTCAATACAGCAAGATGCATGCTATACCACAAGGCCAGCACACGCCAACTTCCTTTACTATCATCCAGGTAGATCCATGACATCAGAACACTTAGGAGCCGAGTGATGGGTGAAGGAGACCATAACCTGTGCAAACAAATATAAGTGTAACCGGTTAAACATGACTCGTATGAACCATTCATTAACATAGGAGGGACAAATCCAGGAGGCAAGAAAACAGGCACAATACAGCTTGAATTAATCGGGGCAGCACGTACCATGAGGTGGAGGAGGAAGACATAAGCGAGGAGAAGGAATGTGCGGCGAGATACTCTGCCCGGTGCTGCAGACAAACGATCGTCCTCGGAAAAGAGGCGCCTAACCGAGCCAATCAGCGATCCCAGTGGGCCTGCTGACGTGGCAGAAAGACTCTGGCTGGATTGGGTGAGTCGAGATCTCCGTAATCTGTCGGCCGAGGACGACCCGGCCTGTGGTGATTTGTGAAAGGGGGGGCACACAAAGGCAGCAGTGGGGAGGGTGGATGGACCAGCGAGTGGAATGAGGCAGACGAGAAGATAAGAAACATAAAGAAAGTGACAAGCATGCATCGACTCAAGGACTCAATTCTCTTTTCCTCAACTGCTCATGCCTCCCTGTCCTCAACCTCTCATCACCCCTTCCCCCCCCCCCCCCCCCCCTCCCCCCCCTCACCTCCACGTCGCCCTCGCCCTCCGCCTTGAGCTTCTCCTTCCACCGCACCGACTCCAGCCCCAGACCCTCCAGCGGGTTGCTCCACGCTGCCCCTCCTGCCGCCCTAGCTTTTGCTGACGTCAGAGTTGACGTCACTGCTGTGCTTCCACTGCTCCCTGCTCCATCACTGCTCCCTCCCTTGAGTCCTTCCTTCTCAGAAGCTTCCTCTGCCCTGGTAACACGCACAGCAGCAGAGGCCACCTGCTGCTCCAGCTCAGTGACCCTCCTCTGCAGCCGCCCCGCCTCCTCACTTGCCCGGTTGGATGCCTCCAGTGCCGCCACCTGGCGACCAAGACATCCGGCACATGGGAAGGGGTTGGGTCAGCCCAAGGGAAAACGGATGGGACGGTGGTTTTAGAGCGCATCAGGCAAGTCGCTCCCATGAACTGCCAGCTGTGCTCTGACGCCTACTTCCCTCTCACGCTCACACACCCCACCCCCCCCCCAAAAATCTCCTCCGGCTTCTCCACTACCCTCTCACCTTGAGCGACGTGCTCTCCCTCTGCATGTCCGCCACCTGCTGCACCAGCGCCGCCACTTCCCTCTCCCTCGCCCCCGCTGCCGCCTCCGCCTCTGCCCTCCTTGCCTCCGCCTCCGCCAGCTGCCATGCAGGGGGGAGGGGGAGGAGGAAGGCATTGGACGGCAGGGTGAAAGAAAGTGGGTATTGGATCGAGGATCCAGCGCAGGTGGATGGAGCCAGTGCTGCACGCACCAAGCTTGTGAGCAGAACAGCGGCGCTCTCTGACACGCCCCATCTTCCCCGCCTACCTTGCCTTGCAGCTGCTTGGCCGCCGCCCTCTCCCCCTGCGCCTCTGCCTGCGCTGCTCTCACCCGCCCCTCCCCCTCCTCCACCTCCCGCCTCAGCCGCTCCACCACCACCCGCTGCTGCACCTCCCTCCCCTCCGCCTCCTCGCCCTTCCTCTCCAGCGCCGCGCGCTCCCCCTCCACCTCCTCCACCCGCAGCTGAAGTGAGCAGGGGGAATGGGGGAGGATACATAGGGGGGGGGGTCGGATGATAGGGGGAATTGAGGGAGGGCCGGGATCGGCGAGGAAGACGGGCATTGAATGATCACAGCGACTGCACGAGAGTGTGCCGCCCCATGTCAAGAAACAGGCAAGAGTTGAGCGTGGCGGCAAGACAACATGTCTCCCGGGGTTCACACATGGCGTTCTGTACCATGGCCAGAATATCGCAGCGCCACTTCCACGAATAATACCTCCAGAGCTCGCATATCGTGTCTCATCTGCTCCAGTGCCTCCCCCTGCTGCTGCACCTGCTGCAGCGCCTCGTCGCGCTCCTCCTCCAGCTCCTGACCCATTGGCCCCAGGCGACAAGGAGGGGGTACGGGTGAAGAGAAACGAGGTGGGCGTGTAAAATAGGATATGGTAGGATAGGACCCACTCACTCTGACCCAAGGCGCAAAAAAACGACGTTTTTTTCCCCTTTTTTCCCCGTTCTGTACGGTACCGAAGTTTTCGACCGTTTAAAACCGTAAAAAACGGTTGAAGTGTCCTTTTTTGGTATCGTTAAAGAAATACGATCGTTTGTTTTCGGTCGTTTTTTTTTAACCCAAAATGATGTCAACGTATATCAGGTATGCAAATTTGCAAGGTTGGTTTATACCTGGCAAAAAACGAAGCGAGCTGTCGGGTCAACGTTTTCCCGAAGCGCGAAATCCAGAACTGTCAGACTGCGTTTGACGAAGCCGTTGCGAAGTTTACAGCAATTCGCTAACGATCTGGTGTACAACTTCGTGCCCTGCAACAATGTTTTCGCGCACAGCGCGATACTCGCAATGCGTCAGCGACACGATTATCCCAACCTCAATTTGTTGGCGCCCCACCTCCCGTTCTCCTCACCAGACGTCTCCCTAACATTCTCCCAAGCAGCTCATATGCAAGCATCACGCAACTTCAAGCTTAGAACATTCCTGAAGCATGTCAACTCGTTTCACACAGCCACTCTAGGTCGTCCAACTTAGAACACAACGCCCTCGCGGCGTCTACGGCATAGTGTAGATAGGTCGGAGACTAAGTTGCACTAAACGCGTATGGTGTTTTATACGCTAGCGTATACACGCTATACGCTTTTTTGGGGCCACGTATATGCTAGGTATACGCTTGTCCGGGCAGGAGAAAACTTCTCTCCGGGCAGGGAAAAAAATCGTGTGTAGGGAGGGGGGAAAGGGGGGATGTGGTGCGGGCCATAGTTTTTCATAGCAGCATGAACCAGAGAACATAGTTAAGCTTTTAAGGCATAAATAACCGCCATGTCAAGGTTTCATCCATGTCGACATGGCGCTGCCTAAAAAACCAGGCGACGTGGCGCTCCCTAAGCTAAGATTCTAGCTTAGTCTGCCGCCTAATTCGGCTGGTAAGTTACGCAATCTGTTTTAGGTTTAGCTCGTTCGGTGGTAGAGGTAGACAGAGCACATTTGATAGATGCCTCGGGATGCAGTGCGGTTGGGGGGGGCAGATTGGTTGGAAGTTGGATTTGGGCAAAAAATTGGGGTCTCGACATTTCGCGATAGTGTGGCTGGCTTCGCCGCGTCGCGATGTGGCGATCGATTTTTTTTCCTGACGGGCTGCCCCCGAAATTTCAGCCGAGCGTATAGCGTTTATACGCTCGTATAGCGTATAGCGTATATACGCTGCGTATATACGCTATACGCTGCGGATTCTGAGCGTTTAGTGCAACTTAGGTCGGAGATCTGTAGATCCCATGACGGCCCTAGGCCTCAGGAACAATGCCATGAGATGTTTGAGTTAGAAAATGGTTTTTCTTGGAAGTAGTGTTTTCGTTTTAAAAAACGACGTTTTTTTCCCCAAAATCACCGGAAAAAATGACCGTAGTGTTCGGACCGTATAATACGGAAACCGTTTTTTTGGCCTTGCTTTGACCTGCTCACTCGCTTAACGCATCCTGCCGACTCATCAACAGCCGTGTGCTGACTCGCCGACTGTATCCTGCTGACTCACCGACTGTATCCTGCTGACTCACCGACTGTATCCTGCTGACAGCAGCCTTGACGGCAGCATTGAATATCCGGGCGCGCCTCTCTGTCTCCTCCCTCAGCTGCTCGCTCGTGCCCTCCGCCTGCAAGAATGCAGGTGTGAGAGGTGGCGTTGGAGGGGGATGTGGCAAGGGCGGGGGTGAGGGGAGAGGTAACGAAACAACTAGAGTTGAAGGGGCAAAGAGGAATCTTCGAGACCACTATCACCGCTCCACACTTCTCCTTTCCACTCCCTTCCTGAACGCCCTCCCGCCCCCTCCCCCCTTTTCTTCCCTCCTCACCCATCTCCTCAACCCCCCCCCCGCCCCCCACCCCCTCACCTGAGCGCGCTGCCTCTTGGCCTCCTCTGCCTGCGCCTCTGCCTCCGCCACTCGCTGGGTGGCCAGCGCCAGCTCCGCCTCCACAGCCGCCAACCCGCGCCGCACCGCCTTCATCTCGCGCTCCCCCGCTGCCACCTGCCCCCTCAGCCCCTCCGCCTCCGCCCCCCCACTCGCAGCAGCAGCCATGGCCGCAGCCAGCCTGGCCTCCAGCTGCTGCGTCTCCTCCGCCTGCACGCCCCGCACGCGCGCCTCCTTCCTGGCCGCATACACCTCCGCCATCGCCTCCGCCACCTTCACCCCGCCCTCTGCCGCCTCCCGCCGCGCCACCTCCAACTGCAGGGAAAGGGGGGGAGTGACGGGATGGGCGGGGGGGGTACGGGGGAAGGATGGGGCCGGAATGGAGCGGGAATAGGAGAGAGCTGGGAGGTGGGAGGGGAAGGATGGGTATTGGAGAGTGTGGTGGGAAGAATTGGAGGGGGGAGCAAGTGTGAGTGGGAAGGAAGGAGAGGAGAAAAGCATGGAGCGATTGAGCGCATTGCAGTGCAGCGCATTGCCCGCTCAACGCACCTCGCCCTGCAGGTGCGCCAGCTGCGTGCGCGTCTCCTCCATGCTCGCCTGCCTCTCCCCCGCCACCTCCTCCAGCTCCGCCCTCTCCGCCTCACTCACTCTCAGCGCCTCCCGCACCTCCGCCAATGACCGGTTGACACCTGTCAGCTCGTCGCGCAGCTTCTGCACTTGCTGCTGTGCCGCGTCCCTCTTCTTCTCCACCGCCTGTCACATGCGCACACACATGCATACACACATGCATACACACATGCATACACACATGCATAGGGACGCATGCATGCACATGAGCGGCTTGCATGAGCCGCAGTTCTTTGCCAGTCCTTAGCATCCACACATAGCCTCCCATACCGCCACCCTCTCCCCTCCCTCTCGCCCCCCTCTCACTCCCCCCTCTCCCCTCCTCTCGCCTCCCATTGTCTCGAGTCCCCCCACCACGCACCTCCATGTCTTTCTTGTGCGCGGCAGCAGCAGCGCTCGCCTTGGCGTCCGCCACCTCCACCTTCCTCCGCCACTCCCTCCTCTCCTCCTCCGCCGCCCGCGCCGCACTCTTCTTCTCCCCCTCCATCTCCTTCACGCACCCCTCCAGCTCCCTCACCCTCTCCTCCATCTCCCGGATCTCCTCGTCCGTCCCCGCCTCCACATCAACCATCTCCGCCTCCAGGCTCCGCGCCTTGGCTCTCTCCGCCTCCAGCTCGTCCTCCATGCGCTCCACCCGCCGCGCCATCTGCTCCCTCTCCTTCGCGTCTCTCTCCCGCCCCTCCGCCGCCTCCGCCAGCGACGCCTGCAACTGCCCGCACAGCACCTGCAGCCGCTCCACCTCGCCCTCCGCTTTCCGCCTCGCCTTCTCCCGCGCCCCGCTCTCCTCGCTCACCCTCTTCACCTCCTCTTCTCTCCGCCTCTCCACCTCCTCCCTCCTCTTCTCCGCCTCGCGCCCTGCCGCCTGCAGCCGCGTCACCTCGCCCTTCAGCCACGTCAGCTCCTCCACGAGAGCCTTCTCCCTCACAGCGCCCATGTCCCGCTGCTGCGCCAACTGCCGCCGCAGCGACGCTACCTCCCGCCGGCTGCTCTGCTGATCCTCGTCCTCCTCGTCGCTGCCGCTTCCCCTGACGTCCTCGCTGGCAGCCGCAGCTGCAGTCGCCACTGGACGATCACCAATATCCCCTTCCCCCGCTCCGCCTCTAGCTACCTGCAAGTCCCCTACTGCCTCCCCAGGGCCCTGCTCCCCTTGCCCTAATTCATCCCTGGCGGAACCCTCTTCTCGCCCCAATTCCCCCCCACCCGCTCCCTCCCCTTGCCCTCCCTCAGCAGCCCGCCCTTGCCTCCCCGCCGCCTCCCCACCTGCTTCCCGACCCTCCGCCAAGGACTGCAGTTTCTGCATGCCAACTTCACGCGTAGCTGCTTTCTCTAATTCCGCACCCGCACCTGCCGCGTGCGCATCGCCGCTCCCTCTCGTTTCGTCTGTGAGTCCCGCCACGTCATCCGTCTTACCGACTGGCATACCCGGCCTCTCTTCCACCGCGCGCTCCTGCAGCTGCCCGTCGCTCGGCTGCGCAGGCGCCAGGAACGGCATGCGCCCGCTGGACGCCGCTGCCACGCCCTCGGCAGCGCCATCGCTGCGTGCTGCGTCTGTCCCGCGATCCTCGCTATGAGACGACTCGGCAGCGGAGACGTCACCTTCGCGAGGTGACGGCGAGGGTAGGCTCCAGCCCTCGTCGGCAGCGTGGGAGGCAACAGCCGAGCCTGGCTGCTTAGAAGTTTGATGACGTGGCTCGATGTCCGGTGAAGGCTGTGATGCCGAGGCCGCCTCCTCCGAGGGATGCGATGACACCGGAATCGCTCCCTCGCCACCTCCTGATACCATGCCCTCCCCAGCCTCCGCTTCGTCCTGGCCGTCGCCGTCATCCAGACCCCATCCGTCGTCCTCGTCCCCCTCCGCGTCTCTCCCTCCTTCCTCGCGCTCGTCGCCTGACTGCACCCCCACCAGGCCCAGGATCCCCGACCCGGCTAGTCGCGGCGCAACGGCCTCTTTGATCATGCCTGTCTCGCGGAGCGCATCGCGGCCGAGCTCCTGCAGCCCTTCCTTCACCACGGCCTGCAGGCCCTGAAACCCCTTCCACATGCCGCCCTGCTATCTATTCGACCCTGTAGAGCTCATTAAACGCGACTATGACTTCGCTCTGGCTGCTGCAAAGAACAAGCGATAATTAGGGGACTAACTTCCTGACAGCGACTCTTGGTGTAAATGTCGGCTGATCCGTGGGAGGTCCAGGAGATAGGTTTCACATCCGCCATGGACTGGATTGGAGGACCTATGGTAGCACCACCACCAGTTTCATCGCTGCACCAACTTCAAGGTTTCCCTCCAAAACGGCCAGGTGTGAAGCTTATTAACGCGGACAAATGCCATACCGATTAGGTTATTATACAGTTCTGCTTGTTGCTGGAGCCCGATCAAAACATCAGTAAACTTTTTCCCGTCCATGCGGTGTTGGTTTGAGGGAGGTGTGGAGGCAGTGTCGCGTACAAACTAGTTCTCCATGTTCAATCCAACTTCCGTCAGGTAACTGGCATTCCTGTCAGTCGCATGCGTCTTCCGTCAACGTCCGCCAAATGCTACGCGTAGCTGTCATGTTCACACCACCACCAGCCTCACACCAGACAGGCATTCCGTCGCAGCCAGTCACGAAAGGTTCGCCAGTCTTCGTGAAGTCCCACGAGCTGGTTCGTTGGAGAGACTGTATCGCTGCCGTGTCCTGGAGGTAACGCGTGGCGGGTGTGCTGTGCGCCACTGCACAAACACCCGCGGGTTTGGGGAGCGCGGAGATCCCGAAGGTAGGGCAGCGGGGTAAGGAAGAGTCGCGCGGATGGTGTGAGCCGGCGCTGACGACATGACTGGGGGGCGTCCATGGAAGTGGGAAAACTTCGAGAGTCCCCCCCCCTTTACCCCAGGCCAACCCTAGCCTCCCTTGAACTACAACCTGACCTGGGCCACCGACATTGCTAGTTTGTTGCCTTTCAGCTCGCAGCAGTGCCTGTCTCTTGCCTTCGTCGTCCTTCACGAACTTCTCCTCGGTAGTCTTAGACGTACTGAATAATAGTCTCCTAGTTGCGATTCCTGTCGGTTTTCTAGGTCTCGTGCTGGCCTTGAAGCCTTACCCCATCGTCCCCTCTCCGTTTCCTCTCATCCATGGCGACTGCAGCTGCTCCTACGATGCAAGCGAAATTGGTGAGCGACGTGGATGGCGGCGAATCATTCTTTCCTTATGAAATCTTCTACGGAACCAAAAGTTTACCGTCGCGGCTTGGTTTGCCTTAACCTAATGACTTTTCCCTACCATACAGAGACTGTCATAGTGTTCCAACGATGTGGCCGTCGGGGGAATCGCCTATCTCTCTGTTAGGTAGCTGTTCTTTATTTTCAAAGGAGTTGACCGCTCGTAGACTCGACGGCTCGTAGAGTGCTGTCGTCCAATTCGCTTTCTTCAGTCGACGACGGTCCCCGTGGTTTCCGTCGTTTCGCCGTTCTCCTCCCGCAGGTCCTGCTGGGCGACATGGGCGCGGGGAAGTCGTCGCTCGTGCTGCGGTTCGTGAAGGGTCAATTCTTCGAGTATCAGGTACGACTTGCGGAAGACACTCGACGAAGTGCAAGTGGGATCTGCGACGCAGTCTCGCTTGGCTTCCCCCGACCCCCCATCCACCGTTGTTCCTCTTGTCTCCCCTGTCGTCGTTGTTGTCGTCGCCTCCGTGTGCTCCTCTGCTCTCTCATCCACCTCTCTCGAGGGTGCCGCGTTCGGCGCATCCCGACCCTCCCTCCCATCCCCATGTCACCTCCCTGCCCGCCATGCCCCCCACCGCAGGAGTCGACGATCGGCGCGGCGTTTTTAACGCAGACGGTGGCGGTCAGCGACGCGGTCGTCAAGTTCGAGATCTGGGACACGGCGGGGCAGGAGCGGTACCACAGCCTGGCACCCATGTACTACCGCGGGGCGGCGGCCGCCATCATCGTCTACGACATCACCAGCACTGTCAGCCGCGCACCCCTTCCCTTCTGCCCTACTTCGTTTGTTGACTTTTTATGACGGTGTCTCTGGCATGTGTTACGCACATGGCGTTTCTGACTTGTGTCTGTGCATGGCGTGCTTGCGCGTGCATGGTGGGTGTGTGTGTGTGTGGATGGCGTGCTTGTGTATGCATGCCGTGTGTGTGTGTGCGCGCGCTTGGGGCTCATGGCACGTGTCGCCTGTGCTATGTGTTTCTCCAGGAATCGTTTGCTCGAGCCAAGAAGTGGGTGCAGGAGCTTCAACGGCAAGGTACGTGTCCACACCTGGACGAATCGGCTTGCAGAGAGCATAGAGTGCACAGAGTGCATTCCCCAAAGTTGACCTGCAGAGCATACCACCACCGTTGCGCTTCCCTGTTCGTGCTCCAAAGTCCCTTTTCCCTTGTCCGTTGGTCCATATACCTTTTACATATCCCCTTCGAATGCCCCATCCTTTTGCATCACCGTCACTGCCATTATTCTTTCCTCACGTCCCACCCTGCCACCACCCTTCCCGGTGACACCCTGCCTACGCCATCCCTCAGGAAACCCGAACCTGGTGATGGCACTGGCAGCGAACAAGACAGACCTGGAGGCGCAGAGGAAGATCTCAGAGGAGGTGAGTCGCGTTGCAGGGAAGGAAGGGGGCGAGAGGGGGGGCAGGGGAGGGGGATCAGGGGGATACGGAAGAGGGCGAGGCAAAGTGCCCAGTTATATGTTTAAGAGCGGACATCTCTTTATTTTGCCGATGTCTTATCAGCCGTGAAAGTGTATGGGTCGCACTTGCGTGGTTCTGGGTGTGGGTGCAGGAGGGCAAAGCGCATGCAGAGGAGAACCGCCTTTACTTTGTGGAGACGTCAGCTAAAACAGCCACTAATGTCAATGAGCTCTTCTATGAAATAGGTATGCAGTTTACATGCCCCTGCCTCCAGTGTTCGTGCCACCACAAGGATTCTGTTTTTTTTTTTCCTGTGGCTCTTCTGTATCTGGAGATGTGTGACATGCGAATGGTTTGTCTCTTTGCAGCCCGAAGGCTACCCAAGGGAGCCCCTCCACAGCAACCTGTTGGCATGCAGCTTCACAACAGGCCAAACCAAACCAATCAGACATCCAGTTCCTGCTGCTGATGCAGATTGTCTACTATCATAGCTAACATACGGTTCACTCACATGGTTTCGGTCCACCAATCTGTACATGCGCTTATTTGTTGATGCTGTGAATTTCTACTTATCAGCGTTTCTAGAGTGTAACACTTGCACTCGAGTAAAGCCGTATCGGGTACGCGAGTCAACTGAGGTTACCGAGGAGGTTGGACGAAACGAAGGTGTCAAACATTTGTATTTGTTATGTTTGCATAGACTGTATAGGGTCATCTCTTAGAGGGTACAATACTTAGGTATATCTATCTGTACTCTCACTCTAACTATTCACTTCTCTAATTCTGAAATGGTATCACGCGTAGGTTAGGATCCCCCCCACCTACCGCTTCCGCTCGTTCCTTAGCTAGGCCCCGCCGCGCCTCCCCCCGACCCCCTGGGCCCCGTCGTGCCCCTAGCCCTGCTGCGCCCCTCCTGGGCCCCGTCGCGACCCTCTAGCCCCGTCGCGCCTCCCTGGGCCCCGTCGCGACCCCCTAGGCCCGTCGCGACCCCCCTGGGCCCTTCGTGCCCCTAGCCCTGCTGCGCCCCTCCTGGGCCCCGTCGCGCCCCCCCTAGGCCCCGTAGCGCCCCTCCTAGGCCCCGTCGCGCCCCTCCTGGGCCCCGTAGCGCCCCTCCTGGGCCCCGTCGCGCCCCTCCTGGGCCCCGTAGCGCCCCTCCTGGGCCCCGTAGCGCCCCTCCTGGGCCCCGTCGCGCCCCTCCTGGGCCCCGTAGCGCCCTTCCTGGGCCCCGTCGCGCCCCTCCTGGGCCCCGTAGCGCCCCTCCTGGGCCCCGTAGCGCTTCTCCTGGGCCCCGTCGCGCCCCTCCTGGGCCCCGTAACGCCCCTCCTGGGCCCCGTCGCGCCCCTCCTGGGCCCTGTAGCGCCCCTCCTAGGCCCCGTCGCGCCCCTCCTAGGCCTCGTAGCGCCCTCCTGGGCCCCGTAGCGCCCCTCCTGGGCCCCGTCACGCCCTCAGGCCCCGTCGTGCCCTGCCCGGCCCCGTCGCACCGGCCCGGCCCCGTCGCACCCGCCCGGCCCCCGTCGCACCCGCCCGGCCCCGTCGCACCCGCCCGGCCCCGTCGCAACCGCCCGGCCCCGTCGCACCCGCCCGGCCCCGTTGCGCCCTGCCCGGCCCCGTCGCACCCGCCCGGCCACGTCGCACCCGCCCGGCCCCGTTGCGCCCTGCCCGGCCCCGTCGCACCCGCCCGGCCCCGTCGCGCCCTGCCTCGCCCCGCCGTGCCCGCCCAGCCCAGCCGCACCGGCCCGGCCTCTGCGCTCATCCCTGCCCCGGCCCTTGCATCCTCACTGGTACGGTTCCCCCCTCCCTGCACAGCCCTGCACCGCACTGCACTGCCCTGCATTGCACTGCCCCGCCCTGCACCGCAGTGCACTGCCCTGCACCGCCCTGCACTGCCCTGCACCGCCCTACATTGCACTGCACAGCACTGCACCGCCCTGCACCACACTACACATTACTGTCCTGTCCTGCACTGCCCCTGATGGCGGCGGAGCTTCGGTTTGACGCTGAAGGCCAGCCTCTGGAGTTCGAGGCGTGGCTTGCCGACCTCCGACGCCAACTCACTGGCCAGCGGCAGGATGGTGAACCGCTGTCCGCACACCTTGACGGTACGCTCCCCTGCCCAGACCCCCCTGCTGTTCTGCCCGCTGACCCCACACCCACCGAGCGCGAATCTACTGCTGCCACTGCCCGTGCGCGCTCTGTCTGGCTTTCTCGCGATGCTGTCGCCCAGCTTGCCATAAGCAATGCCCTTCCCCCGTTCGAGCGCCCTCGCTTTAGGTCTCTCACTACTGCTCAGGCTTACTTAGATGCTGTCATCAAGCGCTATTCCACCCCTCCGGCTGCCTCGGTGGGTCGCCTGATCCTCCCGATGCTCTTTCCTGACCTTGCGTCTTTCCCCACTGTCTCTAACCTCGCCGCCCACCTGCGCTCGATAGATAACACCTGGCGCGCTGCCTGCACTGACGCACAGCTTAGAGCCCACCAGCCGCCCATTACCTCTACCCTTTACCTGCTTGCCACCTGCCTCCCTTACCGCCTTGCTGTCGCCCGCGACCGCTTCCTTAGCATTCACCCCGCAGACCTCACCCTCACCGACTTTGTAGACACCCTGACTGTGATTGAGACCCGCCACCGCTCCATTGCCCAGGCGAGTGGTACCGTGCCGGTCCCTATCTTTCAGGGTTGTGCCCCCGCTCAGTGTACCTTCTCCCACGGCTCTGCCGCTGTGGCTGAGACTGCTGCTGCAGCGCAGTTTCGTTCGGGGAAGGGCCGCCGCCCCAAGTTTGGGCGCGGCGGAGGAGGCGGGGGTGCGGGAGGGGGTGGTGGTGGAGTCGGGTCGTCTGGTGCTGGAGCGGACGAGGGGACCCTGCCCAGTCCAACTGAGCCGCCGCCTCTGCAGTCGCAGCAGCAGCAGCAGCCGCCGCAGTCGCAGCAGCCGCAGCCTTCGCAGCAGCCGCAGCAGCCGCCGCAGACGAGGCAGACGAGTGTACTCCCGCCCGGGTGGCCCGGCGCTGGCGGTGGTCGGGTGCGTCGTGGTGTGCCGAGTGGTGGTTCGGGAGGCGTGCGTTGTCAGTACCAGATCCAGACCGGTCCTCGCCGCGGCTTCGTTTGCGATAAGCTCGGTCATACCACTCCCCGCTGTTTTCGTCGCCTGGACGATCTATTTCGTCAGCGCTTCGGCCCGTCGCCAGACCTTCCGGACTGGCACAGTTTGCTTAGTCGTAAGATTCAGATTTTTGACATGGACATGGATGCCATTGTTTCTGCCTTGCATGTGATGTATGCTGATGACTCTAGTGTGCTTCCTGCTTATTACTCACTGTCGGCTAGTGTAGGTGTGCCTAGCTTAGCCTCCCCTGCTGCGTCAGGCGTAGGATCCCCTGCTTTGTGTAGTCTTGGTGCTTCCGACGTTGTTCCGTCGCCAGACGCCTCTGCTTCGCTTTCCTTCACCTTGGACTCTGGCGCTACCCGGTGTTTCTTCCGCGACTCCACCACCCTGACGCCGCTTCCTGTTCCTGCTGCCGTTTCTCTTGCTGACCCCTCCGGCGGTCCGGTAGTCGCCCGCAGTTCCACCACCCTTCCCTGTCCGGCAGTTCCTTCGGGCACTCTCACAGGTCTGCATATCCCCTCGTTCTCCAGGAACCTAGTTGGTGTCGGCTGCCTCCAGGACCTTGGCGTCACCACTACGTTCCCTGGCCACGAGCGGTATGCTGTCTGTACCGAGGCCGCCACTGGTGCCCCCCTGTCCACGTTCTCCCGGGACCCGGTGTCCGGCCTGTTCACTCTGGACACCGTGACCCCCCCGGCTGGAGCGCTCCCTCAGGTGGCTGCGTCTACCCAGGTTGCTGCTGCCTGCTCCTGTCGGTCCCTCACTCACCCGACTCTCCTTTGGCACCACCGCCTAGGTCACCCTGCGCTCTCGCGTCTGCGTCACATGTCCCAGCACAGTCTTGTCCTTGGTCTCCCCGGTTCTCTCCCCGCGTTTCCCTCCTCCCCAGCCCCACCTTGCACGCCTTGCGTCGAGGGTCGGCTTCGCCGTGCCCCTCACTCCTCCTCTTTTCCCCCTACCGCCGCGCCGTTGCAGACCCTGCACCTGGACATCTGGGGCCCCGCCCCCGTCCCTGGGCCGCTTCGCGAGCGCTACTTCCTTGTGCTTGTCGACGACTTTACTCGTTACACCATAGTCTTTCCCCTGGAGCGCAAGGCCGACGTGCCTAGCGCTCTCATCCCCTGGCTTGTCTCTGCGCGTGTCCACCGCGGTCTCCCTGTCTTGCGTCTTCACTCCGACCGTGGTGGCGAGTTTGCCTCCGGTGTCCTTGGCCGCTTTTGTCGTGCGGAGGGCATCACCCAGACGTTCACCCTACCAGACTCCCCACAACAGAATGGGGTCGCTGAGCGACGCATCGGTTTGGTCATGGAGGTGGCTCGCACCTCCATGATCCATGCCGGTGCACCCCATTTTCTGTGGCCGTTCGCTGTGCGCTACGCTTCTCACCAGCTTAACTTGTGGCCGCACCCTCAGCAGCCGCAGGTTTCGCCGACCCGTCTTTGGACTGGGTCTTCGGGTGACGCGTCTGCGTTTCACGTCTGGGGCTGCCTTGCTCACGTCCATGCCTCCGGCACGGACAAGCTCACTGCGCGCACCCTTCCCTGCGTCTTCCTCGGTTTTCCCCTTGACACGTCCGACTGGCACTTTTACCACTCGCCGTCTCACCGCTTCTTTCACTCTCGCGACGTCACCTTTGACGAGTCCGTCTCTTACTACCGTCGCTTTCCCCACCGCGGTCCCCCGGTTACCCCCCCCCTGTTCCTGGTCACTCCTTCCCCGGTAGTCCTTGCCCCTCCCCCTCCTCCTCCCCGTCCTGCCCCCTTTGGTGTGTCCCACGTCACCCCCCTTCCGTCGGTGGACCCGGTTGAGGAGTCTTCTGACTCTGGTGGCCCTGCTGCGCAGTCCTCGCCGGCCGCCCCTCCACCGGCGTCCCCTCCCCTGTCCCCTCCTCCACCGCCTCTGCCGCAGCTGCGCCCGTCGGTGTCGCTGCCGCCGCCGCCGCCGCCGTCGCAGCACCCGTTCGCTGACTCTGGGGGTGCTAGTACCGGTAGCCCTGGGGGTGTTTCCTCTGGGGGTGCTGGTGTGGAGTGTGCCGGTGGTAGCCGCGGCGCAGCTTGCAGTCCCGGTGTCGCCGTTCTGCCGCCGGAGCAGCAGTCCCCGCCGGTGTCCGCCCTTCGCCTGCTCGGCCTTCTGTCCCCTGACCCTGCGGCTGTTCCTCTCCGCCCGTCTCCTCCTCTTCCCGTCTACGGCCATGTGTTCCCTCCGCCGGACTCGTCCCCCGCCCGTCTTCCCCCTCGTTCCCCTCCTGTGTCCCCTCCCCTGTCTCCTGACCCGACTCCTCCGTCGCACGTCTGGTCTCACCGTCCCTCCCGTGATCGTCCTGCCTCCCCTGTCTTGCGCTCCCACCCTATGTTGCTTCGTTCCCACGCGTCTCGTCCTCCCCTTCTGCCGTCGCCTCCTCCGTCCTCCCTTGTTGTTGCACCCCCCCCGCTGTCTGACTACCTTCGTGCCGCTCGTCCTCTTGTTTCCCGGGTCCTTGCCTCTCTCGTTACTGACCCGTCTGTTCCGGTCTCGTGCCTTGGCACTCTTGTTGCTGCGGTCGCTGACTTCGCCTCTACCCGCCGCCTTGACTACGCCACAGCTCTGGTCTCTGACCCTGCCTGTCCTCCGTCTG